TTTTCTCAGCAATTTCAATAGATTTTTTTAAATAAATTAATTTCTTAATTAATAGAAGGTCACATGTGTGAAATATATTTTAGACTTTTTTCTCTTTCTTTCTAGCTTCAGTTAAAATAGTTGTATCTGAATCTGCCAATATTCCTTGATTAGTTTAAGTGTAATGTAAAAAAAGACACTAAGTCTGCATCGAATTAACAGAAATTTAAGTTTTTGACAAAAGCAGTGAGACTTCAGTGTCCTTTTGTCACAGGAAACTTACAGAGCAGATATGAGATTTTACATAGATTTACTGCCACCTAAAGGACATATGAGACATTGCAACTGCAGCTCATTTCCATATAAAACAAGACTTCCAGAGTAAGAAGCACAAACGTGCATGTTAAAAAAACATTATAAATGTAATAAAAACACATGTAATGTAAATGTTATGTAAAAATATACATTTTTGATTAGTTATTTTACTTTTACCTTGAAGATATCGAACAAAGAAAGAGTTTAAATCTCTTATATAAAGAACGTCTTAAATGAAGTGTATAAAAGTGTTAAAACAAAACTTTGTATGAAAAAAGAGACTATTGTCTCTTTGAATAACTTGAATAAGTTCTGTTAAGTGGTTGCCCAGTTTGGTTAATTTGGATCTCTAATACAATAATACAAATTCTACATCAAACTCCAATATTCAAAATTTCTAGTGTTTCATACAAACCTCATCCGTCCTTTCAGAATTAAACCTATTTCTCCAAATCGAGGTCATTCAAAATGTCATCTTCAACGAGTCAGGTATTAATTGTTCATAATCGTGTTACAAAATTTAATTTAAAAAAATGTAGTAAAAATTTAAAAGGTTTAAATTTTAAAGCATTTCTCTTCTTATTTAATCTAAACTGTAAATGTATATGTTAATTATTCACTAAATAAAAACAAAATATATAGTGTTCTGAAAGACAATCTATGAGTTACAGTTTGTAAAGTAACACATTTAGTATTTTCTGGAAAACTAAGGGGATTAATGTGGGTTCTGATTGGCATGAAGTATCTTGAAATCAGAATATGTTTGAGACCAGGCAGAGTTGCCCTCAGTGAATAACAATCTATCATTACAGAAAATTAATGCCAAATTAAACTGGTGGGAATATATTAAACTCATTGAGTGGGCAAAAGTTAAACACTTTAAACGGTGGTAAAAGTAGAGTCTTGTTATAAACTGTAGAAATGATGGTGCCAATAATAACGTGACCCTTCATCTTAAAGTGATTAACTAGGAAGGTGTTAAAATAGGCCAACTGTGATTTAAAAGAAATGTGTTATCTTGCTTTAAAAATCTACGAATTAGTATTCAGTGTCACAACTAAGGCACACACTGTGGAGAGCATGAATATGTCAGTTCACCATTTTAAAGACTGAAAAGCTCCTTTGGTAGAAGTGAAGTTGTAAAGTAAAAGAGAGATGAGAAAACAGGACTTGGGCAAGAGTAATGGTTGAAAAACAGCAGATATTTGAGTGCTACCATCTGGTTTCCTGAGAGTTCCACAACGGTTAAAAATGAAAAAGACTATAAAACAAAACCTGCTCAAGCAACTTCTGAAACAGCTAAAAGATACAACCAGCTTCTGTAAAGGATGCAAAAACTTGGGCAAGGGAAGAATCGGAAAGGCCAGAGAGAAACTTTTAGCTGGCCTTGAGGAGGGTCTGACAAACCTTTCTATGACTCAAAAAGAGAAATCAGCTCAGATTACAGCCACTGATCCTCTGTATCGAAAAAAGTCAGTTGAGGTGGTTTGGTTATCTGATTAAGGTGCCTTCTGGACACCTCCTTTTCTGCATTTTTGTTTTTTACCTGGAACACCCCATAAGGAGGACCACTGGCAGTCCCAGAACTCACTGGTGGGGTTATATACCCTTTCTGACCTGGAAATAACTTGGGCCTTCCAGGAGGAGCAGGACATTGTTGGTGGGCAGAGAGATGTCTGGTTTGCCCTCCTGAACCTTTTACACCCCCTACCCAACCATGGACACGTGGTAGAAGATGGATGGATTCAAGAAAAAGCAAAACATCTCAAAATCTGTACATCTTGCTTAGGTAAAAGTAAAGATTATCAAAGGTTGCACCTACGTAACTCATGRTTAATGAGTATTTTTTTTAATTGATATTAAAGTCAGATTGTCGTTGTCTGACCACCGGGACAACCCACAAATTAAACAACTTCTCTTGGATGTGTCCACTAATATGTAATTAATTCTCAGGAGCTGAAGTGGGCTTTTGTTTTCTTTGGCATGCTCTTTGTTACCTATGACTGAGTTTTAGGGCCACACAACGAGATTTTTTTTTAAATTACGAGAATAAAGTCATAACATTACGACATTAAAGTCGTGTAAAAATAGAGTCATAATATGAGAATAAAGTGGTAATATTACGAGTTTAAAGTCGTAATATTACAAGTTTAAAGTTGTAATGTTACGAGATTAAAGTCGTAATAGTACAAGATTAAAGTCATAATATTATGAGTTTAAAGTCATAATATTACGAGTTTAAAGTCATAATATTATGATAAAAATGTCATAATATTGTAGCCTTTGCACGAAAAAGCATGCAGTTATCACTGCATTAAAATGAGTAACGTTGAGCAACTTGTCAAGTTGTTCTTTAGTATTGCTATAAATAAATAATCTTTTAGCACATTAGCATCAAATTATCAGTAGCAGGAATTGGAAATTGTGCAAATGACTATAAACTGTAGTCGTATTGTAATTAATGGATGCATYGACAGATTTAGTCGTCACGTAGCTAATTTGGATGAAAGCATATTAATCTAACAGTGACCCGAGTCATCATGGACTACTTTATAAACACAGACACATGGCTCTACACAGCAGGTGTGAGGAAAAAAAGGAGGAAATGAGGAACGGGAAATAGACATGTCATGGTTGACTTTTTTTCTCGTAATATAACGACTTTAATCTCGTAATAATACAACTTTAATCTCGTAATATTATGACTTTATTCTCATAAAATTATGACTTTAATCTGGTAATAATAATAAAAAAAATCTTGTTGTGTGGCCCTAATACTCCGTTGTACTATCACACGTTCCATTAAGAAGCTGAAAGTGAAAGGTCATTTTTAAAGTCCCAGCATACAGGGTACCACGCTCAGAAGAAGCTGCCCTCTGCATGCCACTCAAGTCAGTGCACCACATAAAAAATGAGTTTGGCAGCAGTGGGCACAAGTGGCCCTGCCCTACCAGTTTGCTCTAACAGGCCTGCACTTGAAATATACCTAACCCACTGACACCAATTGCTTCAGCTTTTCCATCCAGGTCACCATCTATCGTGGCTGGGAGATAGAGTCAGACTCTGGCTCAGATAGGTACAGCTGAGCCTTGTGCAACTCGAACTCTGAGGTTCACTTTAATCTTCTGTTCTGTTCCTTGAGGGAAGTGTCCAACAGACTAGATACTGCAGAATGTCCTCATCTGTCAACATTTGCCCATCTGCTGTAGTGTTTAATAACGCTCAGGTAATCACAGAGAGCCATACTTCCTTTCCCAGCTGTGGTTTTATTGTTGTAAAGTTGAAAGTGGCTGCCGGTAGCTTTAATCAAAGGTAAAGAGTCTTAAACTGCTCACTCTCTTTCACACTTTGTTTGACCCATTCATTTTATTTATTTATTTTTTTTTTACTTACCGATATGGCTTGTCAGAGTTATGAATTCGCCGGTGGTTCCTCACCCCAACATATGTGGCGCTGGTATAGTTGCAAACGTCACATTTATACATTTTCTGCCGGCTACAATCTGCAAAACACAATATGTGGAGCAGATTTTTACAGCTTCCTGGGAACTTTTCTGAAAATCTTTGAAGTGGAGGGGGGTCTCAGCTAACAAGTTAAAAACCCCACATTTTTATTTTCTTACCTTCATCTGCTCCCCGTTCAGACTCTTCCACTGTGGTGATGGTTTCAGTGCCTGCTGTGAGCGACGCTATGTCATTGCAGAAGCTGTGCTGCTCTCTTTCATGACTTCTTAACTGACTCTAAAAAGAAAAACACCCATGCACACCATGGGATTTGGTATCAAAGAAATGATAACTGCTCAAGAAAGGTGGAGGTGATCTCCACTGATGCTGCAGCAGGTTTAATAGACCTTCATGCTCCCTAATCCCACATCTGATGCAGACATCGTAGCAGTGGGCCGCCCTTCATCAGTTACAGTTTCAAACTCTCTTGACCTAACTCCTAAAGCCATTGGATAAAATGATAATCTAATAAGCTTTCCTTCRCACAGGCTGTAAGGTTCTGAGATAGTTCTGTGTTATTCTTTGCTTGGATGATCACACGGAGGCAAACCTGCACTACTGCACAAAATCATTCACTATCATAAAAAAAGCATCAACTCCACCACTCAGTCTGTCCCCTCTATCAAATGCTGGAAAATCATTATGTCAGTGTGTCCAGTTTCAAATAACTTTTCATGGTTTTCATGTAGATTACTACAACTGTTTTGCAGATTTGCTCATGAACTCAAACAGTAGTAACTACAAATAATTAGCTAACTGTGGTTAATTATCAACTGTGTCTCGTTTTGGTTGGTCAACTTCTGCTGAACTTCCTCACTTTAATGGATTCAGCATTCTCAGAGACAAAAAATATACTGGGAACAGGACAATCTGAAGTTTTTAAATAAAAAACAATAACTAAAGTTAGTGTATTGACCTCCGTGTTGCAGAAAGAAGCATGGCAATATTCTTTTCTGCATTCTGTCCTAGTTCTACTGAACAACATAACCTCCTTTGGCTGAACAGGAAAAAGCACAAGTAGAAGGTTGATCACCTTGTAGTGAAATGCTTCTGGACACTGTTTGCACTGGTACATCCTGGTCTTGCAGTGGTAGATCATGTGGTTTTCCAGGTCTTTACTGTCTGAGGCTTTGTGCTCACAGATGGGACACTGATATGGCACCCTCTGCCTGTGCACCCGGAGGTGCTGTTTAATGTAGCCCTTATTGCTGCTGCTGTACTGACACAGACGACATCGGTAGGGCCTTTCACTGCCATGGATGTAATCCACCAAACCCCCATCAGCTGAGCTAACCAACCCATCCATCTCTGAAATGGTACACATGTAGCTCTCTGCCCCTGTCCCGGTGACAGCTTCATCTGCAGCCCCATTCTGGAACTGTGCGTTATCTTGAAGTTCCTTCAAAATGTCTTCATCCGAGGCATTTTGGTCTGAGCGCTCCCTGAGTCTTTCGATGACAGTGAGCAGAGAAAGACTGATGCCAGCTTTAGCGGTGGGGCTTTCCTCATCTCCTTCCCCAATGCCCAAGGCTTTTAAATGCCCCTCTCTACCCTCGCTGTGGAGCTCCAAGTCAAGTAGGGCTGCTGTTGTCCCAATTTCTGAAGCCTTCTGTCCACTTGTAGTCACTTCAAGCAGCCTCTGGCCCATGTGTGGGCTCTGCGCCTGAGATGAGATGGTCTTGAGACTTAATTTGGTGCTGGAGGCATGCAACTCAGGTGTCCTCATGGGCATAGCCACAAGTGCCTCTGCAGCCAAAGAGTGCAGGCGGAGAGATTCGGAATGTGTTCGTTTGCGACCAGCTGGAGGAATGTTTTCATCTCTTGGAGGACCATTATCTTGACTGGCAGCGGATGTATTATCACCTTCTAATGTCTGACTGTTTGCAGAATTATCTGGACTACAGTCAAGGACCACCTCCTCTTTTACACTTTCTAAAGGGTCCGGCTCCTCCTCGTTTACACCCAGTAAACCTTTGTCCCTGTCCTCATCTGAGCCGAGAAGAAGCGGTTTGGTCACCATGACCGAATCCTCAGCTGAAGGCAAGCGCTCGACGATCACGTTGATATGTCCGGCACTGTTTGGACTGCTGTTAATAATCTTCTGAGCTGAAGACAGTAGGCTGTCAGCAACAGAGGAACTCTCACGGCAAGCACTGATGTCCACATCGACGTCCGCCTCGGTTGTCACCTGCACCTCCACCACTGGCTCCTCAGAACTCACATCTTTGACAGAATAGCCATTCTCCTCCTCTTCTTCCACAGTTTTTTGACTTTCATTAGAATCAGAAACTGAATGACTAAATGCATCTTGTTTGTTCTCAACAGCCACGGGCATACAGAACTGAAGTTTGAACTCGGATGGAAGCTTTTGCTGGCTTTTCTCTTGATGAACTGGAGAAAGTACAACTAAATCTTCTCTGAGCGTCACACTGTTGGCAGCGGCTTGCACCTCTTTTCTTGTTAAAGCCCCTTCTTCCTCCTCAAAGATAGGATAGGAGCAGTCGACGAGGCCAGCGTGCTTCCAGGCGTGGGTCTTGAGCATTCGCTGCTGGCTGCACACGTAACTGCAAATCAAGCACCGGTACAGACCATATTCTTCATAGCTGTACCATTTCTTCCTCTGCGGGAGCTCTTTGGAATCCTCCACAGAACTTTTTATCTCCTCGGATCTTATTTCATACGAAGCTGTGTCCTCCTCCGCCTTTTTTGAAATCTTTTCCTCCTCCAGGGTAAGTAAATCTGAATGAACAGAGTTTCTCTTTGTGTTGTCCTGATCGTCAAAGTGCAGCCTGACATGTGCTTCTAGCTGCGCCTGGTCTCTGGAGGTAAAGTGACATTCGGAACACATAAGGATTAGGTCACTGTGCTGCTCGTTGTGCTGCTTTAGGTGTTCTCGAAGCTGGGGCAGAGTCTGGGACAAATAGGGGCACAGGCTGCACTGATAGCACGTCACTGTCCATTTGTGTTCAGTGCTGGTGAAACTGTCAGTGTCAGTTAACGCAGAGGTGATGTTATTGTTGTCATCTCCTGACACGGGTACAGAAACAGGGCCGCTGGCCTCGCTGCCATCTGCTCTCACCTCCTCATTACAGCTCTTCCTCATTTTCTTGTAATGGGAGCCTCCCCAACTCAAACGCTCCTCGCCTTCTTTCCTCTTGGCAGAGGACGTCTGATGGAGCACTCGTTTCTGTCCCCCCGGGGTGCAGCGTCTCTGCGGCCGCTTCTCTACTATCTTGCTGAGCTTCTCGATGACCTGGATGAGGGAGTCATCAGCTTGTTTCTGCTGAATGCTTGCTGGGACATCCTGGCCTACCCTTTGAGTCTGGGTTTGACAGTGAGCCCTCAAAACCGAGGAAGAAGAGGACGCAGTGGGAGACTTCGTGATCAGGACAGCAACACTGCTGTTCTCATCCATGACCTGTCAGACAGAAAAGAACATGTAAACAAAAGAATAGTCATTTGGTTGGTGGACAAAAATTAGACAAATACCTTCAAAACTTTCCATTTTATTCAGCAAGCCCATCACAGCAACACTTAAACATGTGGTGCATTAAGTTGTGAAGAAACATGCAGGATTGTATATCTGAATTGTGAAATGACATTTTTCTTTAACAATAAACCTAAACTTTGAGAGTCCAATCTTCCCAAAATTGTTGAATTAAAAAAAAAGGTCATATCGAATAATTTATTTTAAATAGGACTAAGCCCCACCAAAGAGAAACAGCAAACAAAACATGGAGCAGCCCATCTACAAAAACATGCTGTCCCATCTAATTACCAGTTATCTACAAGAACAATATATTATTGGGATGTTGACATTTTGTCAGCAGCTGCATTTTCTTCCCAAACTGCTGTGACCAGATTTTGCAAGGCTGCTCTGTGTTTGCTTGYTATTTCCTCCTGCTTCGTTATTTCCACAAATTTCAACAATGCGTGCTGACGTCAGGTAGTTAGCTACAGCCTCGTCTTCCAGTTTTTAATTTCTGATGATGCTTTTTGAAGAGWCATTTTCTTTTTAAAATAGGATCAAAGTACCGTATTTATTCATGTATAATACGATCTCGAGTATAATACGATCATCATTTTTGGACCTTAAAAAGCATAAAAAAACCTAATCATCAAAAACATGTGTATAATACTACCCCCCCCCCCCCACACACACACACACACACACTCTTTATGGGTGATTTTTAGGGTTAAATTTCTAGTATTATACATGAATAAATACAGTAAATCGCCCGAGTTTTTTAAGTGACCCCTAAAGAGATAAGCTGCCATGAAGAACATTATTTTATCTGCCCTTGTTCCAAATTTGATAATGATTTGAAACGTCGAAGTATGTTTTTTAGCAAAGTGTTTTGATGCTCGTCTTCGTCACTTGACACATTTAACAAGCTGTCATTGGTTGGGGAGCTTCGTTTACAAAAAAGATGTCTACATTGTTTTTAAATTTTTCATTTCCTTACGTTCTAAGACACATTAAGTTGATTTGATGCTGCAGTTTGCCTTGTAATATTATTTCATAGCTTTTCTGCTACTTTTGCATTGGCTATAATTAAGTTTTATTAGTTTTTAGGATACAAGATGCTTCCTACAAAAACCAGAATGTGAATCTTTTCCTAAAATTTCATGGCGATATCTTGAACACTAAGGAAGTTATGAGCAGTCTGTGTGTATATATGTCTGTGTGTATATACTGACAATATTTATGAATGTAAGCATGTACAGGGTATGTATGTATATCTTTATATATGTATGGGTATGTGTATATTTTTATATATGCCCTCCATGTATTTAACCATTTATTTTTCAGGTGAGCGGACAGATGTTGGGTGTGTGGTCCTGTGTTTTGTTGGTGTATATTTAATATACTTCTAATCGCTATTTCAATCTTTCTATCTTTCTAATTACTTCTCTCTGTTTTTCTCTCTGTCCCTATTTTCGCTTCACTTAAAAAAAGAAAAAAGTCACTGATGATGAAGAAATATATAAAGTAATATTTGGTTTCGTTTTCTACTGAAGTGACACAAAAAAAGGAAGTTATGAGCAAAAACAGATAAGAACAAGGTGAAATGGTCGCATTGGTTCTGTTGTGAACTGCAGCAAGAAAACATGAGCTGATTTCACCTAAATAAACATCAATAACTTCCCTCACACTTGAGATAATCACGAGTTTGATGTTATTTTATATGGTTTGTAAAGTTCTTTTGGAATCCACTGTCTGATTTAACATTAGTGTAGGATAAAATAATTATCCACATCCCTATATTACTAACAAGAGGATGAATATTGTACAAGCTGATTATGCAACATACTGTTCTTGATATTTTGCAATGCGGTTCTTTATCTAACAAGGTTTAGTGAATGAAAAGCTTAACAGGGTGAAAGCAAATGCAAACAAGCAGTGTGATAAGTGCAACAGTTTAATCCATTCATGATAAGCTCTGATCAATGCCTCAGTCGAGGAAACACACAGACACCATGTGCATCTGTTTACAAACTAAACTCAGAGGAAATGGTCACCTTCTATGTAGTTCAATTTCTTTTATCTTCACTTGTGTAACATTTTCCCCGGTTCTCATTTTCTGACCGCATTTCTCCTTCCTCTTTGTCCTACTTCTGCTTCTGCACAACCAGAGTAAGACCCAGGACACGGCTTGTTATTTTAGGAAAGGATACCACAGGGAGTGAGTGAGAGTTCAGTGAGGTGCAGTTAAACAAATTAAGAAGAGGAAACGTGACGTGGTTATTAAGTGAATATATACTTTTTTTTAACTCAAAGCAAGCAGCTTCCTGTCACAATCCAAGATGCTTTACAGCAACACTTTTAACCATCCTTCTAAAAACAATGTGCTCGTTTTTATCTGCAAACACACGTGCTTCGGCCCGTCTCAGAAGAACACCTGTTATGTCAAGATCTAAAAATATTTCACCCACCACCGCTGGTGTGTAAAATAAAAGTTACACTCTGTCTCTAAACTCTACTGATCCAACAACTACACTAACAGTGGCTAATGTTCACTAACAAGCTAAAGCATTTTAGACACAAATCAGCATTTTTTAATAATAAAAAAAAAACTAAAACTACTAAAAGGACAAACACTGCTAGCTTCATAGCACTGCTTCTCATACACGAGTGTCCACACACAGTGCTAAGAGTTCCACACATGACTGTACAAGGACATTTCAGTTATCTTTATGAGACGAAGGAGCGCGTGGCAGTGTGTGAACGTAAATGCACTCACTAAAACAGGAAGGTTCGACGCTCTTTGTCCTCAGCACATAAATTGCTTTGTTTTATTCCTTCGCCATAAAAAGTGGCCTCTCTCGTTCCACATTGCAAAATGGCGAGGATGGAATATTGGTCACGTGACTCGGAGTTGAGGTCAGGTGACCAACGCGGGCGAAGATGCCTTCAAGTGCTGCTCGTAAAAAGTAACGCGTAACTTTCACGACGCTGTTGCCGCTAAATTAGAAAATGAAAACATAAACACAATTAAAATAGCTGTTTTATTTTATTTTTACAATAGGCTACATGGAGTTATCATTGATGAAAAGCTGACATGGAAATCCCACATAAATCAGCCAAATCCATTGCAGTATTGTATAAAGTAAGGAATGATCTGTAGAGTCAGTGAAGTGAAGTATTTAGGCGTCATTATAGATGAAAAACTGACATGGAAAATATCATATAAATGGTTTAAGAACAAAAACAGCCAAATCTATTGGAGTCCTGTACAAAGTAAGAGAACTGTTCAATGATAAAGCACTATTTATGTTGTATAACGCTATAATTGTTCCACATTTAATTTACTGTATTGAAGTATAGGGTATAAAGCTTGTAAAACTATCACAAATCCTACAGAAAAGAGCTATAAGAATTATTATTAGAAAAAATTACAGCCATCCATCGAAAGTTTTGTTTCGTGAGTTGAAATTATTAAAATTATATGATTTGGTCGATTATAATATTTTGCTGTTAATATACAGAGCTCATAAGTGTGTTACCTTCCAACATTCAAGTAAATTTTGTTAAGAGAGAGCTGTTATCTTAAGGGATTTGAAATGTTTGTGAAACCCTGGTTTCCTACGAGCGATCCACTTTAATCCAGGGAATAAGATTGTGGAACAGCATGGAAGATGAGGTTAAAAATGCCAGATCCTTGTATATATTAAAGAGAATGATGAAAACTAGTATTCTGAAGAAATATGGAGAAGTATAAGTGAATTCATGCAAATTGTTGTTTGTGTTGCTGTTTTAAATTTTCTTTTTAGTTTTTTTCCACGAGTGTTTTCAGTTGTTTTGATTTTTGCTGTAATTTACTTTTCTTTTGAACATATTTAAAAAGGGGCAGATATTATAAGATTTATTCTTCTGCTGCTGCCTTTCATTTTACTTTGATTGAATGTTTTTTTTACTTGTTATTTGTTAATGAAATGAATAAAGTGAAACATCATCTTCAAGTAAGGGACTTGTTAATGACAAAGCTTTGTTTATGCTGTATTATGCAATACTTGTTCCACAATTGATTTACTATATTGGAGTCTGGGGGAAAGCATGTAAAACAATTACAAATCCCATTTTTATTTTACAGAAAAGAGCCGTAAGAATTATCATCCGAAAACACTACAGTCACCCATCAAATATATATTTTTTGTGAATTGAAATTATTGAAATTTTATGAGTTTGTTGATCAAAATATTTTGCAGTTTATGTATAAAGCTCATAAAAATTTATTTCCTCTAAATATTCAATCATTTTTTAAGAGAGTAAGTATTTATAGAGATGTTTGTAAAGCCCAAAATTCAAACAAATTTGAAGGACCGATGTTCAGTCTAAGGAATAAGATTGTGGAACAATCTGGAAAGTGAATATAAAAATGCTAGCTCAATAAATTTATTTAAAAGAATGATAAAAGTTAGATTGTTGAAGAAATACAGATTTGTATAATGTGCATTAATAAGAACTGTTGTTTGAGAAGGAGTTAAAGATTTTTTTATGTTTTCTTATTTGAAGACTGTTTCAATTTATTTATGTTCAAAAAGGGGCAGATATCAATAAGTTTTTTTCTTCTTTCTGCTACCTTTCATTTTATATGTGTTACATTATTATTTCTTGTATGTATAGCATTTGTTTTGTTTTAAATAAAATGAATAAATTTAAAAAAATAAATAAGTAAATAACAATTTTAGTCCTGTCTTCACAAAATTAGAATAAATAGGATGCATTTTTCAAAATTTCCTGACTTCCTGGTATCCATTAAACCCTGTCACCACTTTCTCTGTTGAAATCTTTAAAAAGAAAGATATGGGCTGTCAATGAAAAGTCATGTGTTTAAAATGTTTCTTTTATGACACTTTTAGACCAATAGAATAGAATAGAATAGAATAGAATAGAATAGAATAGAATAGAATAGAATAGGAATCCCCTGAGAAAAATTAGTGACAACTGAATCTGAGCTGGCCCTCTTGACCAGTTTGACACAATCCACCAAAAATGAGGAGGACATTTTAGCTTAAACAGAATTTTTAACCGGATGTTGAGAAAAAAGTGTTTTTAACATAATATTTAAACAATATTTGTCAAATACAAATGATACATGACTTGGTAGAGAGAATGAACCAGTGCACACATATTGTGTTCACTATTGTCGATGTATATTTTTGAAGTTTGCTCATTTAGACAACAAGGTGTAGGCTATAATTTTTCAATGAGATCAAATTTAAAACAAGGTGCATGCAGACCTGGCTCCAGAGGAGTTTACTTAAGTGGGGGCTTACAAGTAAAACACCTCATTTGTTTTATAAAAAAAATTACTGTTGTATTTTCAAGTGACACTTCTGGCAGGTTTCTTCCTTTATATGAAAATGCATTCATTTATTTTCTTAAAATGAGTTTGCACAAAAATATGATAGAGAAATTAAGAACCCAGGGACAGGTAAAAGAAGGTGATTCCTAAAAAAAAATAAGGGATTGTAAAAAAWAAATGCAATCCCTGAAGAGAGAGACCTGGCTGGAAATACTACACTGCTGCTCCTGGGTGAAAATAAAACAGGAGATGTTGTCTGTCAACATAGAAGAAAACAAAGAGCTAAAGGCTGAGCTCCTAGAGGCAAAAGGCTGAAAAGACAGAAGAAGAGATGATCGCTCTTTACTGCATCAACTCTTTTGCTCAGTGGGAAGACAAAGTGGCCCATCAAAGTTCAATCAAAAAATTGAGAAAAAAAAGATATCTGTTTCTCCTCAATCGAACTGCTGCGTCCACGAGTGATAAGAAAAGAAGACAGCTCATGCTGACAAACTGAAAGGCTCCAGCATTTTGCTATGAAGCGCTCGAAGGCGGTTTTGCAGCTTTGATGATCAAAGCTCAAACAGGCACTTCGGCCCGAGTGAACAAGCTCGGAGACGAGGTTTAAGAGGGACAAAGCATTGACAAAATAAAATACAATCAGCCGAGCAATGGAGCAACGTGAAGGATCTCACTTGAAAAACTTTGATATCATTAGGAGTGCTGAGATGAAATAAAACATCCAAGTCCTCACACATGAAAAGTTCTGCTTCAGGTGTGCAGCCGAAACCAGACCAAGCAACCATTTCCAAGTGTCTTTGGAAGTTATTTATATCATTTTGATTTATCCCTAAAAAGCTAGATGAAAAAGACTCTGGATCTGGAAGGGCCTTTTTGATTCTGATTATTTACATATAATAATAAATATGATCTGGTCTTTACCAAATTTTAACATGATTCAAATCTGACCTCAAGTGAACAAATGGAAAGAACAGATTTTGTTTTGTCATTATTTAACAAACAAAAACAAAGACAAAATGAAAAATCTGTGTATTAAAAAACAAAACAAACAAAAAAAACTAGGTTAACCATATATGTGTTTTTCATAGGACCATCTTTAGAAGCAGTATCATGAAATGCTCATTTTCTGCTTGACTATGAGTCTCTTACTTTCTGACCATTGGCACTTCTTTGATATGATGTAGCTTCAGTTTTTGAGGGTTTGAGGGTACACAGCTGTCTTAGGTCTTGCAGTGCCGTGCACAGTATTTTATTTGGGTTAAGGTTTGATCTTTGACAGGCTCAACACTTTGGTTATTTTAATTTTCAGTTATTCTGTTTGGCTGCTGTATTTGGGATCTGTAGCAGCATGACCCAGCTTTGGCTGTGAAATTGACTCCTGGAACAACTGACGGTTAGATATGAATCATTTACAACCTCATAACAACAATTTTTATTATGCTTTCAATTGAAACAAAAACATTATTTTCCTCGAATTGTGGGAAGTGTTCTGCTTGCTCCTCAGTCTCAAAGTATTTTATCTTCCAAATGACTTTTTATACTTTTTACTAATAGAGAAGAAAACTGTGTAGCTGCTGTCAAAGRAAACCTGCTTTTACCACACCACACCACTGTCCTCTAGTGGTTTGTTTCCTTTTACACTCTATGGATTGGGAGGCTAAAGCCTAATTCTGGATTCTGTCTGGAAAGTGCCAACTATAATAGCAAATCATCTGAGTTCATTGTTGTTTTCTTAAGAACAAAATAAGAAGATGCAAAACCAGTGACAAATTAAACAACAAAATCCCCCCAATTAATTTACTTTTGGTGACTTTTGGGACATTTTAGTTCAAATGAGCTAAGATTTCTACTTAACAAAGTTGTTACAGAAGATGGTTGACTCAGTGAACACAGGCAGGCAGCTGAAACTGAGTCGCAGCCAACCCGATGAAGTGTCACACAGCTGAGTGAACATATATCAGTGATGGCGGCTTATAAGAGTTTAACTCTGAATTCAGATTCACCCTTTTGTTTCTTTATTGCTGTTGAAGTCATATTATCTTAAGTCTTTGTCCTAACAAACTACTAAAAAAGACAAAGCTGGACGATACTGGACTGAAGGAAGTTTCTCCAAACTTTAGTGTCATCTTTGTATAATTTGAATCATTTTTGTTGAAAAGTATGTGGTCCTGTCCTCTTGAATTTTGTCAAAGATCCCCAGATTTCTGAGAATTACCCACAGTATTATAATACCCACATATTACAAAACCAGAAGCTATGTTATTGTAATATTTGCCCAATATTCAGTAAGAGTCTCTTTTAACACCAAATTAAGGGCCTTGAAATGCACATCTGAAGGTCTGCTGTCAGTTTCAGCGTCGGTGTGTTGCAAAATAAGTCCCTAATTAATTACACTTTTTGGCATGTCCTTTAAATAATTCCCTTACTTTTATATGTATTGTGACATAATTGATGATTATCTTGCTGAAACAAATATGGTTTCCGTAAAGGAGCTGTGTATTGTAACTACTATATGCAAATGCA